TGCTTCCCTCGGCATTGATATAAATCAAACTCTAGCTCTAGCACTCCTTGCTACTTGTAATGTGCATACTCTAACAGTTAGCCAGTGTAATGGTAAGTTCTCAATTACTAGTTTTGCTGCTTATCCTTATCAACTTTGAAAACATCAACTCTCTTTGGTTTCCCAAACCAGCCCTCAAAATCTCATATATCCAAATCAATTATACTACACAAATTAGCGTTGTGTTTGCTTGAGGGATTTGGAAGAGAAAAAGGAAAAAATGTGTGAAACTAGGCGAAATATAAGCATATTTTATTCACATTTCACTTTTCTTTTCCATTTTCCTTTCCAAATCCTTTCTTAAATCCCCCAACCAAACACAACATAAAACAAAAGTACCTACAAACAGTCAAGGTTGTCAAGATCGCGATACGAATCGTATATACATCATTCAATCCAACTTGTGCTTTGGATCTACCCCAGATCAAGATTGTGGTGGGATCGTTTTGGGATCATTAGGATCGTATCTGGATCGCGACTCCATGCGATCCAAATTTAAAGGGTTTTTTTTGGCAACTTAAAAGCAAAATCATGAGCAAAAAAGAAGAGAAGTAGAGAAGCAAAGCAACCAGAGAAGCCTTACCTGTGATTAGGGCAATATGAATTGGCGAAATAGAGATTCAACATCAAATTTCAGAATTTGCATCCACAAACAACCAGGTACGCTTCTTCTTCTTCCTCCTCTCTCTTCTTCGCTGCTGTTCTTCAAGTCTGCCTGCTCTTTTTTTTTATTTTTCTTCGTTGTTCTTCCTCTCTGCTGTTCTTCGATCTTTTTTTTTTCTTTTTTATTCACTACTCGACTCTTCTTTGTTCACTAATCTTTTTTTTTTCCTCTTATTTATTTATTTATTAGATATATATTTTTGTATGTTTCTCTTATATATAAATTATATATTTTATATATATTTATTTATTTATTTTTGGTCTGTAAATATTGTTGTTCTGTTGGTATATATTAGATATATATTTATTTATTTTTGCTCTGTAAATATTGTTGTTTTATTTTTCTCTTATTTATTTGTATTAGATATATATTGTTGTTTTGTTTCTCTTTTTTCTTTTTCTTTTTTCCTCCTTCAACTTTCCTTGTTCTTCTTTGCTACTATGCTACTGATGTTCTTTGTTGCTGCTTTTTCCCTAAACCTTGCTGAAAAAATGTCTTTTAATTTTCACAATTTGCAATTTTGCAGTACACAAACACAATGTCAGCCTCTGGTTCAGGAAGAGGAAAGAAGAGGAAAAATGTTGCTGGTCACAGATCTGATCCTGGTTGGGAACACGGCATTGAAGTGGATGCTACAAGCAAAAAGGTAAAATGCAAATACTGTCATGTTACTCATTTTGGAGGAATATATAGATTAAAACACCATTTGGCATGCACTCATCAAAATGTCGAACCATGTCCCCAAGTTTCGGAAGATGTTAGAGAAAAATTTATGAGTCTTTTAAGAACTCAAACATTAGAGTCTCAAAATAAGAAAAAACACAACATAAAACAAAAGTACCTACAAACAGTCAAGGCTGTCAAGATCGTGATCCGGATCGTAGGATCCTACGATCCTACGATCCAATATACATCATTCAATCCAACTTGTGCTTTGGATCTACCCCAGATCAAGATTGTGGTGGGATCGTTTTGGGATCATTAGGATCGTATCTGGATCGCGACTCCATGCGATCCAAATTTAAAGGGTTTTTTTTGGCAACTTAAAAGCAAAATCATGAGCAAAAAAGAAGAGAAGTAGAGAAGCAAAGCAACCAGAGAAGCCTTACCTGTGATTAGGGCAATATGAATTGGCGAAATAGAGATTCAACATCAAATTTCAGAATTTGCATCCACAAACAACCAGGTACGCTTCTTCTTCTTCCTCCTCTCTCTTCTTCGCTGCTGTTCTTCAAGTCTGCCTGCTCTTTTTTTTTATTTTTCTTCGTTGTTCTTCCTCTCTGCTGTTCTTCGATCTTTTTTTTTTCTTTTTTATTCACTACTCGACTCTTCTTTGTTCACTAATCTTTTTTTTTTCCTCTTATTTATTTATTTATTAGATATATATTTTTGTATGTTTCTCTTATATATAAATTATATATTTTATATATATTTATTTATTTATTTTTGGTCTGTAAATATTGTTGTTCTGTTAGTATATATTAGATATATATTTATTTATTTTTGCTCTGTAAATATTGTTGTTTTATTTTTCTCTTATTTATTTGTATTAGATATATATTGTTGTTTTGTTTCTCTTTTTTCTTTTTCTTTTTTCCTCCTTCAACTTTCCTTGTTCTTCTTTGCTACTATGCTACTGATGTTCTTTGTTGCTGCTTTTTCCCTAAACCTTGCTGAAAAAATGTCTTTTAATTTTCACAATTTGCAATTTTGCAGTACACAAACACAATGTCAGCCTCTGGTTCAGGAAGAGGAAAGAAGAGGAAAAATGTTGCTGGTCACAGATCTGATCCTGGTTGGGAACACGGCATTGAAGTGGATGCTACAAGCAAAAAGGTAAAATGCAAATACTGTCATGTTACTCATTTTGGAGGAATATATAGATTAAAACACCATTTGGCATGCACTCATCAAAATGTCGAACCATGTCCCCAAGTTTCGAAAGATGTTAGAGAAAAATTTATTAGTCTTTTAAGAACTCAAACATTTGAGTCTCAAAATAAGAAAATGAGGATGCTTGATATTGGTGATGATAATTCTGATGAAGAAGTGGAATTATTGCATGTTGGCCATGAAAACAAACAAAAACATTATGGGCGTTTGGATAAATTTGTGGTGAATAAGTCTCGGCACCAAAATCAAAAAACTATCAATCAATTATTTAAGAAAGAAGAGAGAGATGATGTTTGTCAAACAATTGCTCGATTTTTTTACACTAGTGCAATTCCTTTTAATTGTGTCAACAACCCTATATTTCCACTTATGGTTAAGAAAATTGAAGATTATGGAAAAGGCCTTGCGCCACCATCTTACCGTGAAATTAGGGTGACATTTTTTGAAAAAAAAGTGCGTGAGAAATTGCAATTACTTGACGAGTTCAAGGAACAATGGAAAAAGATCAAGTGTACAATTATGTCCGATGGATGATCGGATAGAAAGAGAAGATCAATTTCCGATGGACAATGCTTCTAATTATAAGTTGGCGGGAGAAATGTTAATGGATAAGAGAAAGAGCTTGTTTTGGACGCCTTGTGCCGCTCATTGTATAGATTTGATGTTAGAGGACTTTAAGAAGCAAATCCAACTTCATCGAGTTACAATTAAAAAAGGGAAAAGAATTGTGGCATACATTTATTCAAGAACAAATCTTATTCATTGGATGAAGGAGTTCACCAAAGGTATTGAACTTATTAGGCCCGCGGTAACTCAGTTTGCCACATCTTACTTGACCTTGAAGCGCCTTTATGAGCAAAAGGGTGCATTGTTCTCTTTGTTTACATCACCCAAGTGGAGAAATAGTCAATTTGCAAGGTCTAAAAAGGGTAAAAAATATTGAAGATAATGTTTTAGATAATCGTATTTTTTGGAATGACGCTTCTATTTGCTTGAAGGCTGCGGTAGCTCTCATTAAAGTACTTAGATTGGTGGATTCGGATGAGCATCCAGCGATGGGATTCATTTACGAGGCAATAGATCGTGCGAAAAAGGAAATTGAAAGCAATTTCAATAATGTTTTCTCATAGTAAACTTTTATTTAGTTAAATTTATTTACTTTACTACTATATTTCCCTAAACTTTTATTTATTCATTAATACTCTTTATTCACTGGTGTTAGCTATGATCCTATATGGACCACCATTGATAAAAGATGGGAATCCCAACTCCATCATCCATTGCATGCTGCAGCATACTTCTTGAACCCTCAGTTTCATTACAGTCCCAATTTTCAGCCTGATGCTGAGGTTAAAATTGGGCTGTACAAATGTCTTGAAAGAATGGTTCCTGATACTAATGAGTGGGTGAAGATAGATTTGCAAATTGATGCATTCAAGAGTGCAAGAGGACTCTTTGACATACAAAATGCAATAACAACTAGAAAAAAGAAATCTCCAGGTGCCTTTTTTTTATTTTTACTATAAGTTGATTTGTATCACTTTTAATATTTTATTATTTGTTTTCATTTCATCAATTTTAAATTTATAACTAAAATTTCATGTAGCTGATTGGTGGGACTCTTTTGGTGATGAATGACGTGAGTTGAAGAGGTTTGCAATTAGGATATTAAGTTTAACATGCAGTTCATCAAGATGTAAGCGCAATTAGAGTACTTTTAAGATGGTACACTCAAAACGGAGGAATCATTTGTACCAAAAGAGAATGAATGACTTGGTGTTTGTCATGTACAATTTGAAATTGAGACAACGACACATGAATAGACAAGCAATCGTGAATCCATTATGTTTGGATGATGTCCAATTAGATGATGAATGGATAACAGAGAGAGAGAGACTTAGACTCTTCCAAGAGAAGAAAATTAGTTGAGTGTGCTTGATAAGAATGCTCGACATGGATGTGATTCGGATGAAGATGAAGTGGTGGCCCTTGCAAGGAATTTGGAACAAGCTTGTAAGTTTATGTACACATGTTTTAGTTTTAATTAGAAATTATAACTTTAATTTTACTTTTAATTTTTTTTGTTTACTCCAACTTAGGTTGTGATCCTATTGGTAGAGAACATGATGAAGTTCATGAAGTAAGTGATGATGATGCTATGGATCAAAACATGGATGCTCGAAGGGATTTTGATCATGACTTTGAAGATGCTACTATTGGTGAAGACATTGAGGACTTGGATGGCACCATGGGTGGTGACGACGATGATGATGATGATGATGATGTGGCAATGATTAATGCTGATTGTGGCAATAATGATGATAATTTCGACGACAATGATGACTTATTGTAGTTTTTATTTGTTCTTCTTTTATTTAGTTTGTTTTGTTTTCATTAAGAAACAATGACAATGGTGTGCAAGTATTGGTATTTGGTTTTATTATGTTTCTGACTTCTTTTTTTGAAAAAAAAATATGTTTGAATGCTGCATTGAATTGCTATATATATATATATTTTTTTTTTTGCTTATTCTATATATATTTTGATAGTATTATTTAGTCATATAAAAATTATTACATTTTTTTATCATTTTAGTAGGATCTTATGATCCTCGATCCGATCTTACGATCCGATCCGACGGACTTCCAAAACAATCCTGTGTAGGATCCCGATCTTAACAACCTTAGTTGTGAGTTGAGGTAATGCTAAAAAAGTCAACTTTTTGTTAAAAAAAAAAATTAAAAAGTAAAAAAAAAATTAGATTGTTTGTCATCAACTTAAAAATAACGTTAATTTTTTAATTAAAAAAATAAGTATTTTTTTGTAACAATTTTCTAAACATATTAACTTTTTTAACCCATAAGAATGCTCGACATGGATGTGATTCGGATGAAGATGAAGTGGAGGCCCTTGCAAGGAATTTGGAACAAGCTTGTAAGTTTATGTACACATGTTTTAGTTTTAATTAGAAATTATAACTTTAATTTTACTTTTAATTTTTTTTTGTTTACTCCAACTTAGGTTGTGATCCTATTGGCAGAGAACATGATGAAGTTCATGAAGTAAGTGATGATGATGCTATGGATCAAAACATGGATGCTCGAAGGGATTTTGATCATGACTTTGAAGATGCTACTATTGGTGAAGGCATTGATGACTTGGACAACATCGTGTGTGGTGATGATGATGATGATGATGATGATGTGGCAATGATTAATGTTGATTGTGGCAATGATGATGATAATTTCGGCGACAATGATGACTTATTTTAGTCTTTTATTTGTTCTTCCTTTATTTAGTTTGCCTTGTTTTCATTAAGAAATAATGACAATGGTGTGCAAATGTTGGTATTTACTTTTATTATGTTTTTTACTTTCTTTTTTTTTTGAAAAAAAATGTTTGAATGCTACCTAGAATTGCTATATTTCTTTTTTGGGGGCTTATTCTATATATATTTTGATAGTATTACCTAATCCTATAAAAATTAGTGCGTTTTTTTATCATTTTAGTTGGATCTTATGATTTTCGATTCGATCTTACGATTCAATCCGATAGACCCCCAAAACAATCCTATGTAGGATCCCGATCTTAACAACCTTGCAAATAGTGTGGCGACACTCCGTGGTAGAGTGTGAGCCTCATCTAGTACTCAATTATTCTGTGTGATTTCTAGAAAATTTTACGCAATCCTATACTTACTGTATCCAAATTAACATTGAATATGTTTCGAAAAAAAACAGTTGCAAGTGGACCCACAGCTTTAGTACCTAGTCCAATGAATGCACCAGTGGGCTCTCCAGCACCTGCTCCAGTGGATTCTAACCCCCCCAGCTGATTCTTCCAATGGAACTCCTCAAACTCCAATTACACCATCTCAATCACATACTCCATCAGCAAGTATAATATATCTATGTATATATGAGATGTTGAACTATATTAAACTGAGTAGATTTAATCTTGTACATATACATATATTGGACACACAAAATTAATTTCATGCTAATGCATAATTAAATAAATTAAACCAATTCAGGAGTAGGTTCTAAAACAGTTCCTTTGACAACTAGTGCCTCGTTCAGTGGAAGCAGCATCAAGTCATCATCACCCTTTCAAATTGCAGTGTTCCTTTTCTTCATCATCATGTGCTTCGACCGCCACCAGTTCTGAGCTCTTCACAGTGTTAAAAAGCAATTGTGTTATAGTTTTCATTCTTATGCTCACAAGAATGATTTTAATCATTGTCACATTAATTTTCTTTTCTTTTCTTTGTTGTCATTGAAGTGAAATGCAATTGGTTGTGAGAGTTTGATTGTAATTTGTATCATATGTTTTTTAGTCATTTAATGAAAATTTTGTTATAGTTTTCATTCTTATGCCTTTTTCCAAGTTGTACAAGAGTGATTTTAATCATGAGCAATGCTAAAGACCCTAAATGTTTTATCAAATGTCTCACATGGGTATAGAACCTACACCATTTCAACTTGTACAAGAATGATTTTAATCATTGTCACATTAATTTTATTTTCTTCTCTTTGTTGTTATTGAAGTGAAATGCAATTAGTTGTGAGAGTTTGATTGTAATTTGTATCCTATATTTTTTAGTCATTTAATGAAAATTGTGTTATAGTTTTCATTCTTATGCCTTTTTCTAACTTGTACAAGAGTGATTTTAATCATGAGCAATGCTAAAGACCCTAAATATTTTACCAAATATCTCACATGGCTGTAGAATCTACACCATTTCAACTTGTACAAGAATGATTTTAATCATTGTCACATTAATTTTATTTTCTTCTCTTTGTTGTTATTGAAGTGAAATTCAATTGGTTGTGAGAGTTTGATTGTAATTTGTATCCTATATTTTTTAGTCATTTAATGAAAATTGTGCTATAGTTTTCATTCTTATGCCTTTTTCCAACTGGTACAAGAGTGATTTTAATCGTAAGTAATGCTAGAGACCCTCAAATGTTTTATCAAATATCTCACATGGGTGTGGAACTCACACCATGTGAGTCTCATGTAGGTCTCACACGCATGTGAGGTATTTAGTAGAACATTTAGTAAAACATTTGGACCTCTAACATTTTTCTTTAATCATTGTTACATTCAGTTTCTTTTTTTTCCTTCTGTGTTGTCATTTGAAGTGAAATGAAATTGGTTGTGAGAGTTTGATTGTATCATATATTTTTTGAGTCATTTAATGAAAAACAACAATAGTCCACAAATAATCTCATTGGACTTTAGAGCAGGCCCAACTGAATGCAAACCCGGCCCATCAGTTGAGTTTGGTTTGACACCCAATCCAATTATTCCATACATTAAACAGTTATAATTATTATTATTTTAAATGTAAAAACACAATGATGTTTATGTTGGATTTGTTTGTGGAAAATACTTTGATACAGACATGTGGAGTTGTGGATGCTTCGAATATGCTTTGTCAAGTGTTATAATAGATGTTGTGAGAAGAGACAAATGACAAACAATGTCAAAAATATTATTTTGAAATATATTTTTGTTCAAATTAATAAAATTATTAATTAACTTAAAAATTAATTATTGATTGTAATGTGACTCGAATCATCATGGAATGGGAAACCTTAATTTCAACAAAACTTAACAGAGTCTTGTGTAACTTATCTTAAAAATACCATTTGATAAAAAATATCACAATAACAATTTTGAGTATAAAATAATTGCAGGTTAAACTCATTTATATAACTTTAAAAATAAGTTACTTGAGCTCAATTTGAGTGTGTTTATTAAAAACTTGAGTAAAAATTTAAATATATTTTAAACTTCAATAAATTTTTTTAACTCAATTGAAAGACTAACTTGTATAATTATAAAAATTTAAGATAACTCATAATATATTCATTTTAAATTGATTTGAAAATAAACAAATTAAGTTTTTAATCATATCTTTTAATTTTAAAACTAACGTTAAATAATTTATTATTTAATTTAATTCAGTTATTTATAATTCTATACACATAAAGATATTATTTTTATTACTCATCAATTTTTACATAAAATAAATGTACATAATAATCATATAAAAAAATTATACACGTCTCCACATAACATAACCCTTTTATTTATAATAAAGAGATATCAAAAATATCAATGAAGGAAGATACTTTAGTAAACTCACGTATTACTTTAATTTTAAGTGATTTAATATAAAATTTAATTTTGCCCCTGTATATATTTTTTACTAATTCCAGTGGACCATATGTCTACTAAAAAAAAGATTAAAAAAAGATGGGGAATAGGGTTTCCTATAATTCATTTATTTTTGTACATCGAAATTAAAGACCCTCCACTTGCGTCTTACTTGGGCAATCCAACGCTACTTCTGCTTCTTTGCCCCTTTCCTCTCTCTCTCTCTCTATCTCTCTTTCTCTCTCTCTCTCTCTAGAAATCTTTCAGAACAGGGCGCAAATCTTTGTTATCTTCATCGGTCTCGGAATCTCGGCTTTAAGGTTACAACCTCTCTCAGCTCATACAACAATACTTGTCTTTTGCTTGTAATCGGTGGAAAAATGACTTTTTTATCTAAATAATTTTCGAATTACTCCGAACCCAACTTCCATTGTGTTGAATTCATTGTGGGTTTTGACCAAAACTGTTGAAATTGTGATGTAGTTGCGATTTCTGTTTCATTTTGGATTTGAATTTCGATTTTGTACCTACTTCTTGCAGTTATTTGTGCATGAATTGATAATCTGTTTGTTTATATGTGAGGGCGTTTGGCTGTAGTTGTTAATTTCAATGAATTTGGTATTTGGTACATACATATAAAGTTTTGCTTGTTTATTGCCTGTGAATTTTTATTGATTTGGGTATTCTAAATTTGACATGCATTTCAATTTAATTGAGAGTTTGAGCTCTGATGGCAATTTGGGTATGCCAAGCGTGGATTGTGCGTAGACTGTGGTGACTGCTAATGTACAATGGTGGTTTTGATTTCCTGCTCTATGTCAATTCAAAACAATGAAAATCTGTCATATCAGTATCTTTCTCATCACCTGTTTGATATATACTTCTCTTCTGTTTGCCTGTTTGTGATGTTTCTTATGTCAATCACACTGCAGCCAATTCTTTTGGGGCTTACTGTTGACTCTTCTAAGGGCTTAGTCCCAAGGGGCGGTCATGGGTTCAACTCTGCCTTAAAGGGGCGGTCATGGGTTCAACTCTGCCTAAAAGGGAGTTGAATTAGGAGGCAAACACTTTGTACTTTGCAAGGGTGGAGACTTCCATAAGTGCTAATCTAACTACTAACCACTGACTTTTGCCGATCAAATATATATATATATGACATCGCAGCCAATTCTTTTGGGCCTTACTGTTGCGAGAAATTAACAAATATCTAGCATCAAATTGCAATTTGAATAATGGAACTTTGAATGCATGTGGATGCTCGAGAGTTTTGCATCCTGCCTAAGTTTTGTTATGATTTGTTTGGAGTTCTAGAAATTCTTCCCATAGCAGTTATCCTAGAATTAAATTTAGTCTCAGAAATAATTTTATTACCAACATCTTGTTTGTTGTTCAATTCAGCCCAGTTGTGTTCACTTTTTGTTTTTCTTATTTAACCAGAGTGTGATACCTTCGTTGGCTAAATTTTCTTTTAGCTGGCCCTATATTTGACATGAATCTATTCTCTCTCTCTCTCTCAATAATAATAAACATATTTTCTGTGTTAGCTTTTTAAGTGAAAAAAAAAACTCTTTGGATTTCACTTATTCATTGGGCTTTCAACCTGTAAATATACACTGGTAGCATATGTAACAGCCTAATTCTTCTTCTTCTTTTTTTAATGTTCTATTTCCTAGTTCTTGGAAGTTTTATGGAGACATGGACTTTCAGATGTCTTGAATAATTGGATTTGTGAAGGAGATTGATCCCCTAGCTACTTGAAGTGCTGGAACTGTAGAGCTTTTTTCATTTTAGGTTTTTGCCCTTTTATTTGTTTTTCCCATTTAAGAAGTAACAAAGGTATGAACTGTACAGGTATATGCTTGTTAGGACTTGCTGACTATTGTCGGTGATGATCTCCTTAGATTTTCACCTTTTTGAGGTGCATCGAAGTTGGTCATTATTGTTGAATTTGCATTCTATTTGATCAGTGGCATTTGGACATATAGGTTAGGATTCTATCTTTGTTTTTTCTGTGATCATGAATGAGTGATTTTTGGACAATTCATCATCTTTTTTTGTGTCATCATTCATTATTGATTATTATGGACCCCTTAAAAACCTTTTTTTAGTGATGAGTAATGTGTACTCTATGAATGAAATAAAATGGTGCCTTTGGAGTCCATGATCATTCCCAATCCTTGTAGCCTTAAATGTTATCATACTATTGTTTCATCATCTGAACTGTGGAGATTAGAATTTAATCATAAACCATTAATGTTTGGCATTATAATGGTCAGTTCCTTTTTAGAAGAAAAAAAAAATGAGACTTGTGACTTTGATACATAATCTGCGGACAGTGGAGCAGATTTCCCTTTTGCCATGGATATGATTTTCAAGCTAGAATTTGTAAATTTCAGTTGATTTGACTTTTAAGATTGCAAATATGACTATGATAGTGGATTTCTTGAATATTTTTTTAGGTGAGCTAAGGTAACCATCAGTTCTGGGATTCTTTTGCTTAAAAAAACATATATATATATATATATGTATGTATGTATGTATATAATTGATCATAAATTGTTGCCACTAGGGAAAAGAAAAAATAAATTGCATGTACACTGAGATATAGCTTTTTCCTAGATAAGCACAACACACTCTAGAGGCACTCTCAAAATTATGATATTTTGAGAATTGTGTTGGCGCTCTTCCTAAATGGGTGTTGTATCCTAGCTTGTGAGTTGTGACATATTGTAGATCAGACATAAACAATTCTTAATTACAAAACAAATTTTAAATCCAAGTCCAACTCGAAGATAATAAAAGTTAACGAATTGTGTATCAGGTATCGTAAATGGTTACGGGAGGAACTTCTATTTCTGATCATGGCAGTATGAACAAGAGTTGTGCCTTGTTTCGCACGTTAATGTGGTGTGTTCATCCATGAAGAAAAAAAAAAAAAAAAAAAAAGTAGAGAGGGAAATGGATGTAACATTCATCACTAATGTCTTCTGTGCAGTGCTTAGCTGCAAATTAGAATAATAATCCTTTGGCATGAAGCTTTACAGGAAAAAAATTCCCTAATGATGTCTTGAATGATCAAGTCTAGATGAGATTTGTTTTATTAAAAAGTCTGAATTTATTGATAAAATATTGGATGTTTCATTGTCATGAACTTGTGGATGTCCCAATTAGTCATTTCTATTATTCAATTTGAAATTCAACATTATTAATGTACTCATACATCATACATTAGCTTGACTTCATGTGCTGATGGTATTTTTTTCCTCCTTTTGATATTTCAGATATTTCTATTCTATCACTTCTTAATGGAGAAACAATCTAAACAAATCCACCAGTAACCATTATGTCTGAGCTGATTGAAGGTCTCCCTGACGCAGTTGCATTTAGGTGCCTTGCACGGGTCCCCCTCTACCTTCATCCCAAGTTGGAGCTCGTATCTCGTTCTTGGCAAGCTGCCGTCCGCAGCCCCGAGCTATTCAAAGCCCGACAAGAAGTCCATTCATCGGAGGACTTTTTATGTGTGTGTGCATTTTACCCTGGAAATACGTGGCAGCTTTATGATCCTCTCCGAGACCTTTGGATTACTCTCCCCATTCTCCCCTCGAAAAGCAGACACCTTGCCCACTTTGGTGTTGTCTCCACTGATGGAAAGCTGTTTGTGCTCGGTGGTGGCAGTGACGCTGTTGACCCATCGACTGGTGACCACGATGGTAGTTTTGCAACTAATGAGGTCTGGTCATATGACCCTCTTACCCGGCAGTGGTCCCCACGAGCTTCCATGCTTGTGCCTCGGTCCATGTTTGCATGTTGTGTGTTGGACGGAAAGATTGTTGTTGCTGGTGGTTTCACTAGCTGCCGGAATTCAATATCTAAAGCAGAAATTTATGATCCCGAGAAGGATGTCTGGGTCTCAATACCTGATCTCCACCACACTCACAAGACAGCATGTTCAGGAGTAGTTATCAGGGGTAAGGTACATGTCTTGCACAAAGGTTTGTCAACCGTGCAGGTCTTGGATGGCGTGAAGCTCGGTTGGACTGTTCAAGATTATGGTTGGCTTCAGGGTCCAATGGCAGTCATCCGGGGAGAACTCTATGTGATGAGTCATGGCCATATTTTCAAGCAGGAAACAGAAGCAAGCAAGGTAGTGGTTTCAGCATCTGAGTTCCGGAGGAGAATTGGGTTTGCAATGGTTGGGTTGGGCGACGATATTTATGTGATTGGAGGGGTGATAGGGCCAGAACGATTGAATTTGGACATCAAGAAGCTATCTGATGTCAATGTTTTGACTATTGGGAGTGAAAGACCCGTTTGGCGCCACGTGGCTCCTATGACAAGGTGCCATGGAACTATCATGGGTTGTACACAGCTGAGAATTTAAGGTCTTTTTTGCTTATTTTGACGGTGGATTTTGTTGCTCTGTTGTGAGAATTGTGCTCTTCTTTGTAACTTTGGTTAGGTTTTCAGCGGCTACCTTGTTTTGTTTGTAAACCCCTTAGCCTCTGGCCTTGTGTTCTAATGGTGGAGTTTTTTGGGAACATGATAGCTTAAACAAGTCAAACTTACTTCCTTTTATTTATTTTATTTAGAGGGTAATTGAAATAAAATACATATCAATTTGTTTGTGGTGTTCATTCTTTTACTTTTGATGGGCCTACAGTAGGGCCCCCAATATGAAAGGCGCAAAAATATGAAAGATAGTGGTTGGAGAGGATTATTTTCATTTCAGTAATGTTAGGTTTCAGGAAAGGGTTTCAGGAAAATCTTCAAGAAAATGTGGGTCTCACTTGGTAAGGAAATAAAAAAAGGAAAAAAGAAAATGTGGGTCTCACTTGGTAAGGAAATAAAAAAAGGAAAAAAAATGAAACGTGATGGAAGAAGTCGTTGGCTGAACTTTCCTATTATATCAACAACAAATAGGGTGGGTCCCACCTAGGAAAATAAAAAAAATAATAAAATAATAAAATAATAAAAAATAAAAAGAAAAGGAAAAAAGAAAAGAAAAGTAAAGGAAAGGAAGAAAATGTTGGCCGGAACCTCCATGTTATATCAACAATAAATATTGTAGGGTAGCAATTCAAGTGAATTCCTTTTAGTGAAAACTCACAAAGAATATAATCTAAGGAATAACAAAAAGAATTTATATATTGCCAATATATAATAGTTCAATAACATAAACCTACATCAAAATGACAATACTTCAACATAAGCTTATACCAAAATGACAATGCTTCAACAACTCAACAACATAAGCCTCCACAAAATGACAATGCTTCAACATCGGCTTGCCTAGAAGTCATATAAATATTGTCAATGGTAAATTAAAAATAAATTAATATAGGTCCAAGAAACATTGTCATTGTTCACATCTTCAACTTCTTTCATCTTTGTCTCGTTCGGGATTTTCAGATTGTGACTGCGCCATATCATTCAACATTTTCGTGAAACTTGAATTGCCCAACATCCAAGATTGAGATGGATGATGATGTCCCTACCAAAAAAATAAAATAAAATAAATGACATAAATATTAAATTTTTGTTTAAGCCACGTTAATAAAATACAAAATGGAATATTATGTACTTGGGATGACAAGTGTCCTTGGAGCATGTTTTGTTGCCCAAAACTTGGAGCCAACATTTCAGATTCCTGCAATATAACAAGCACCCATAGAATTATAAATCCAACAATAAACTAACAAAATCTAGCTATAAAAGAAATCAATAAATCCAACAAGTTTCTTACATTGATTTTAATACTCTCTTGTGTACCAAGATCAACAAATCCCATATGTGAAGGCGCACTAAATTCATATTGCTACAAAATATAAAACTTGAAAGTTAACAAAATAATAGCTTATCAGTTAATGGTAAATTCATGCATGAGATATTTTTCACACCTCTATATTTCCTTGGCTGCTGGTGCTAGTGGCCTTTGTCTTTGTCCTGGTCTTCATTCTTTGCTTCTTTTTAATAGTTTTTTCAAGCATAGACTGTTTCCTTTTACATGGTGGCCTCCCTTTTTGACGGACAATGATTGGATCAAGTATGTTTGTGCTCTCCTTTGAATTTAAGACACCATCCCCATATGAGCTTGAAGCATTCTGAGTACTCATAGAACCAAACTTGTTACTTCCACTAACAACATCAACTTCTTCTTTCAACTCCCCTTTTAGTTCACGTAACTGTCCAACCACCTTATCACACTTATTGTCACAATAAGTTGCCAAATCAGCCACCTCATTGAAGACATTGAACATTTTATCATAGCGACATGCTTCAGGCTTAATAGAAGAGTTGTCATAACTGATATGCACTTTAGTGTGACATCTTTTCACATTTTTGTTCCATCTTCTTAAAATATACTTGTCTGGCGTTTGATGAATCCTTTTTTTCATGAGCACAGCAATTTGATGCCTACACACTATTCCCCTAAACTCAAACAACCGACAACTACAATTTGTTTCAGAGCTGTCCTCTTTCAAATATACTGTGAAAGTTGCATGTCTAAGGCTTTCTCCAAAGGGAACATCTTCACTTACTTCATACACAGAAAAATTAAGATCTTCTGAACACAGAGACAAATTGCAATAAATCTTTTCTACAACCTCCTGTTGGAACTCTTTGAATTTTGCAATTGTGTAAGCATTTTGAAATTGCTTTTCAAATGGATATTGAGTTATGCATGGGATGTATAAGTTGAGAGAATTGAATTCTTCACCATTTTCATTTTCAACCTTCTTTGCCATAGCATTTTCATATTGCTCCACAAATTGTTTCAAAGTGGTTTTCGAGTTAATGTACCCATCAAAGAATGCGTGCATGCTTTCACTACGATGTGTGGTTGACATTCCTGCCCAAAAAATGTCTTTGACAAACGCAGGTACCCATCGATGTCTTTCCTCATACAACCTAAGTAACCAATCATTGCTATGAAGTTAATACTCCCCAATGAACTTACCCCAATTTTCTTCAAATTCTTCTATAGTTAATGAATCATAAATTGCATTCTGAATACCAAATTTTATTGCTTCATATTCCTTATATCCTCTCAATTTTTCAGGCAATTTTTTCATAATATGCCACAAACACCATCGGTGACGCGCATTAGGGAAAACAATCTCTGTGGCTTTTTTCATGGCTTTGTCTTGATATGTAATAATAGCATTGAGAGGGCATCCAGACATGCATGCAAGCTAAGACTGAAATAGCCATGTAAATGTCTCTGTGTCTTCATGTGAAATGAGTCCACAACCTAACAATGTCGACTGTCCATGATGGTTCACACCAACAAATGGGGCAAATGGCATATCATATTTATTTACCAAGTATGTTGTGTCAAATGTGACCACATCCCCAAACTCTTTAAATGCTGCTCTACTCCTCGCATCGGCCCAAAATACATTTTGTAATCGACCATTTCCATCCAAATCCATGACATAAAAAAAGTCTGAATTATCACTTTGCATTTTCACAAAATAATTATACATTGCAGTGGCATCTCCTTCATCAAGTCGTAAACAATGAACTTTGTCTATATGATTCCTACAATCTTTCTCTAAATATGACAACTTCTCACGCCCTCCAGCTTCCAACACAAGTGAAGTGAAATTTTTGTTCATCCTTAATCCCCACTGTATCATTTAATTCAAGTCACCTCTTCACATGCGGCTCAAGTATCCTATTTTGCTTGAAAAAACGAGATTTGGTTGGACTCATTTTATGGTTATGCTCAAGTACTAAGAATCACAATAGCCACATTCCATCGGGTTGTAGAATTGCATTAATGCAAGCTTTGCATCCCGTTCTTGTTTGTGGCCGTAATTTAACTGGATTGCTTGTTTTGATTATTGCCTTCCCAGCACGAGTACAAGCAAGAGTTATATATTTTTTCTCCCCATCGCCTCCCTTTTTACAATTTTTCTTAGACACCGCAAAACCATTTTTCTTCCCATATGTTGCATAATATTCATAAATTTCATCACTTGACTTAAACATCATTCCCACCTTAGGATCCTCAGTTTCAACTTCTACATTTTCAGTTTTGACTTCTACATTTTCTGTTTCCTCCATTTCATTCTCAATATTAATTTCATTAATGCCCTCACTTAAAGAACCACTCCATATTTCTTCATCCATATCTCTACAATATATATATATATATAAAAAACAAATTAAAAAGTTCTTCAACAAAAATAAATAAGAAGGCACTAAATAAAAAAGAATTAATTTACTTCTTAAACAAAAATAAATAAACAACCAATAACTAAACTGAGACTATTTAAAAATAATAATTTGTGCCTTGAAATATATACATTGGTGGGCATCAAAAATTTTCAAAATTGAACAAAAACCCCCAAAATTTAACCTATGCAATTTCTAGGCTTTCATACATGAAACAAAGTAAATCCACAAAATCTCATTGAAAGATTCAAATTTAGAGATAACAGAAATTAAAACGAAAATTGAGTTATATAACCTATGCAATCCACAAAATCTCTTTCATTGAAAGATTCAGAGACAACAAAAATTTTCAAAAGCCCCAAAATTCAAAATTCAAAATTCTAGGGTTTGAAAAAAATAATCCCAAAACCGCACAAAGAAGGTAGGATACAAAATCAAGCTTGGTAAAACAACTACAAACACTCAGATTTTGGTTGCAAATCTTACCTTCAGTGTTCTTGCAAGAATGGTGGGATTAGAGACTGAAATCGCAGCAAAAATCTGAGAGTGACGGAGAAATCAAACGGAAATCTCAGCAGTTACGGAGACGCCGGCGGTAGTGACCGGCGGCAGCAAGCTTGCGGGTGAGAGCTGAGCGAGAGAGTGGTGAGAGAGTTGAAACATGAGCTAGAGTGGTGAGAGAGTTGAAACGTGAAAGAGTTGAAACATGAGACTCAGAACTTTTTTTTATTTCTTAAACTAACAATTTCCTTGCCATGTGGGACCCACCTTTTCCTGAAGACTAGCATTACTGGTAAAGCGTTGTCACGCAATTTTAATTTCTTAAAATGTTTACAAAGCATATAATTTTTTAAATTATTTGAGTTTTTGTCTAGTAATAATATATATAAAAAGATTTATACATAAATATTTTATTTTAAAATAAAATATTATTAAAAGATGAATTTATAAATTAATAAATATAAATTGGGCTTAAGAAAAGCCCAAACAATAACAAACCAAAAAGAAGAAAAAGCAAGCCCTGAAACGCTCAAAAACCCTAGAAACGAATTCCGAGTGGAAGACAAGAAATGGAGGAGACGACTATGGAAGAAGGAGACTACAACAGAGACATGGAGGTCTCTCCAGCCCTAATTGCAGTTCACCCTTCCCAATATTCCGTTGCAGTCGCCGTTGGCTCGGACCTCCGCGTCTTCGATCTCCAGTAACTTCTTCGTCTTCTTCTTCTGAGCATATGATCGAGTTTCAACTTCTAATTAGGTCGCTCCGACTAGTCTCTGATTGTTTCTGAGGAAATTCTGGAAAAGAGAATTAAAATTTTCACTTAACTCATCCTAGAAGTTGAAGTCATTATTTTGATTACTTAATAATATCTATCTCCATCTTCAATTATGAACTTTGAACACAATATTCTGCACACGGTGTTTTGTTTTCAGGGGTGGTTGTCCAGTTTCATTGGTGGATGATACTAGTGAGCCTCTTCATAAGGATTCAATTAGAGCAATCCATTATGGTGCAAAAAAGGGCAACCTTTTCGTATCGGCTGGTGATGACAAACTAGTTAAGATTTGGAACACCGATTCTTGGCGCTGTATATGTACTGTGTAAGTCTTCCATTGTTTTGAATTGGGTTTTAGCACTTGTTTCATTGGGTAAGATCCAAATTTTTTTAATGGCATTGTTAAGATATTCTAGACTGATGGGTTAAACTTCGAATTCAAATTGCGTGATTGTTGTAAATGTAACAGGTCATCAGAGAAGAGAGTAAGCGCTGTTGCCATAAGCAATGATGGTCTGTTTGTTTGTTTTGCTGACAAATTTGGGGTTGTTTGGGGTGTGGATTTGGATGGATTACATGAAAATCAAACTTCACCCAGTATGAAGAAGGCAGTGCCAATTCTTGCCCACTACTGTAGCATCATTACTAGCCTGGTTTGTCATTTGTTATCGTTATATCTTTTCTCTTGTTCATTGCTCTGTTCTATATATGGGCATTTGTTAATGCCTACCTATTTCCATCATAATAATATCAAAAAACAGATCATAACATTAATAATACATCTAAGACTTGGCAATGCAGATTTATGCTTACGGGTAATTTGTTTCAGTATGTTATCATAGACATTTCTACCATTCAAAGTCCCTTTTTTTTTTCTTTTTTTTTTTTTTGAATCAGTTCCGCTGATTTCCCATTAATGACAGAAAAAAAAAATGGGATGAATTATTCTAAATAGTTGTATCTTCTTACAGGAATACTCACCAGATGGACGATTCATTGTTAGTGGTGATCGGGATTTTAAAATTCGTGTAACTCATTTTCCTCCCCCATTGAAATAAATAATTATTTAGTCAATTCCATTTTATTTCTTTTTCCAATAATGTTAATCTTATGACAGGTTACTGTGTTTCCCAAGAAGCCTTTGGATGGAGCTCATGAGATACAGAGTTTTTGCCTTGGGCATACCAAGTGAGTGATTTTTTTTGTTATCACATGTTTATATCACATCAGTGGTAAGAGAAAACGAAGTTGACAGCAGACAGGAATTGGGGTTTTGGCTTAAGTCTCTGAGAATTTTGCTGCTTGAGCTAAAAATAAAGATTTTTTTTTGGAAAAGTTATTAACATAGTGACATTGAGAATCCGATTGTGGCATCTATCTGACATAATGGTCCAGATTAACTTAATGCATTTTGTTATAACAGAGGGATGTTTTTTTGCTAATGTTGTTTAGTTAACTTAACTCAATGCTTGTCAATTATAAAGTTTTGAACTTCATTCATTGTTGCCTATGTGATTGAAGCTCTTCCTCTTTCTGCCTCTCTTGGTATGTACATATATAGGCTAAGAAGCACGGATACTTCTAAGAAGGTGATGTATCCGTGTCGTGTTCGTGTCAGACACCGACACTCTTTGGGCACTTTCCTGACACGTGTCCGACACTCTTCAAAACATGTCCTATTTTTTAATTTTTTTTCAAAGACCCGGACACTCTTTGGACACTTAGAGGAGACACATATCTATCACTTAAACACACGTGTCTATTGATTAGACACAGGTGAAACTAATTATAAGTTTGAACAAAACAACTTAAGATACAATAATAAAACAAAATTCATATAAATTTATAGGAATTTGTGTCATATTGCATTTTTTATTATAATAGTTATATATATATATATAACATATAATAAATATGTAAAATTATATATTTTATGTGTGCCTTTCACGTGTCGTGTCTTGTATTTTTTGAAAATTAGCATGTCGGCGTTTCTGTGTCATATCCGTGTTGTGTCGCGAGACCGTGTCCATGCTTCTTAGTATATAGGTTTGTGTATCCAAAAAAAAGTAATGTTGTTGTGTACAGTGTTGTGAGCCTAGGCGCCAGGCAAGGCGAGGAGAGGCACTGTCGGCGCGACTTGAGAAGGCCAAGGCAAGGTGCAGTATAACAGTCGCGCGCCTTGGATGCGACTGGAAGAGGCGCAGAGAGGCGCAAGTCGCACGCCTAGTCGGGCTTCTCTGTTTATGCGTAATTCAGATCTGACGGCTGGAAATTGTGTTCCAATAGCCTCCAACACATACGATTAAAACTCATATACAATATAATACAACTCAAATCCCTAATCTGTGTTGTCTTCTTCGACTGGGTCCTTCGACTCCTTCGACTGGGCTCTTCTCTCTCTCGAACCAGGTACTCCTCCTCTTCTTCTTCTTCTTCTTCTTCTTCTTCTTCTTCTTCAAATCTTGAAGCTCTATCGAAGCTTCTTCTTCTTTTTCTTCTTCGAACCTCGAAGCTCTGTCGAAGCTCTGTCGACAATTTTTTTTTTTTCGCCGACTTCTTCTCGATTTCGACGACCTCCCGTCAACTTCATCTTCTCAACTTCGACGACTTGACCTCCTTTGACTTCGATCGCTCTCTCTATCTCTCTCACCTTCGCCTCTCTCTCTCGCGAGCTCGCGATCTCTCTCTCTCCTCTCTTTCTCTCTCTCAGCTTCTCTCTCTGTCTTTTCTATCTAGCCCCTGTTTGGTTTTTATCTATACGTATTAGTATATATATACTTATATATATATATATAAGTATAAAATAATTTTACCTATATCTTATATAATATATAGAAGTATATATTGTCTTATATCTTACATAATATATATTATACATATTAATAAAAAGAACAAATTATTTAGTGCAAACTGGGTTGGGTATGTAAAATAAAAATAAAGCCATCTTGGATATGGATATGTATGTAAAAAAATAAGAACATATTATTTATTTAGTGCAAACTGGGTTGGCAAATTTAGTCATCTGCGCCTCGCGTTAGCCATCTGGGTTGGGTATGTAAAATTCAATCATCTGGGTTGGATATGTATGTAAAATAAAATTAAAAAAATTAATAAGAACATATTGTTTAAAAAATATAATAAATAAATGGTGAACAAGAGCATATTATTTTTAAAAAATTATGTTAGTGCTATGAATGATTAGTCTATGTTAATTTATTTATTTTTTACTAAGACTATACGCCTTGCTTCAATAAAGCCCGCGTCTCGCCTTGCGCCTAGGCCCCGAGAGACCTTTAGCGCCTTAGTGCGCCTTGAGCCTTTAAAAACACTGGTTGTGTACTTGCCTGTAAGGAAAGTCCAATTACATAGCACATATGCTTTCAATACTAGATATATGTGGCCCTAAAAATAATGTGTTTTGAGAGCCGAAATCCATCGTAGATGGCACTTTTGAAGATGGGTCCATGATAGCGATTTGGTATATATATGAAGCACCAAACATACATAATTCTTGAATTTTATTAATTATCTTAGTACTATGAATGATTAGCCTATATTAATTTATTTATTTTTTACTAAGACTGTGCGCCTTGCTTCAATAAAGCCCGCGTCTCGCCTTGCGCCTAGGCCCCGAGAGACCTTTAGCGCCTTAGTGCGCATTGAGCCTTTAAAAACACTGGTTGTGTACTTGCCTGTAAGGAAAGTCCAATTACATAGCACATATGCTTTCAATACTAGATATATGTGGCCCTAAAAATAATGTGTTTTGAGAGCCGAAATCCATCGTAGATGGCACTTTTGAAGATGGGTCCATGATAGCGATTTGGTATATATATGAAGCACCAAACATACATAATTCTTGAATTTTATTCCATTGTTCATGTTGTCCAAGTTATTAATTGATTTTTTTCCTATAAAACTCTTTGCACCGAGGTTTTCTACGTGTGTGGTGGATGCTAATTTCCATGTCCATGTGTCTCTCCTTGCAGGTTTGTGTCCTGCCTTGCCTTCGTTTGTGCTTCAGATTATCCTGAGGGATTTCTTCTCTCTGGAAGTGGTGATTCAACAGTGAGTAATCATAAATTGGATAGCTTACATGGCTTGCATCTTACCTGTAACTTCTTTCAAGTTAAAAGTATGACACAAATCTGACTGCGCTTTCAGGTTCGATTGTGGGATATAACTTCCGGATGTCTTCTTGATACCTGTGAAGTTGGAGCAGAGGTAGCTCTGTTGTTGATCTGACCTCGCCTTTGTTTCTGATATATCATATACTTCCTCTGTCTGGATGCCTTTTTTAGAACAATTATGAAACTATCATACTGTCATCATAAAACTTACCCTTATTGTAAAATTAGAACAAAATTCAGACCACAGGTGGAGGATGGTCCTTTTTGTGGTATCAAGGAGGTCAATTTTTTTTTAGTGAAAGTAGTGTTGAAATCATAATCAGAGTGAGGTCAGTGATATTTCAAGTGAATTGAAGGGATGGATTCCCTTTCCCACTCCAACAAGCTTAAGAGTTTTGAATTCCTTTACTTTTTGAATTATTATTTTCCCACAAGGTCACTGGTTAGCTTTTGATGAAGGCCCACTTGTTTCATTGTTTGTTACTTCTGTTTTCGCTAACTCTTGCTTCGTGAAGGCAGCATTTCTAGAGTCTAATGGAAAAGAAGAGGAATGCTGCACTGCCATTACCAATCTCTGTGCCATTCCTAACAGTTCATTAGTTGCAGTGGCCATTCAGAGGCAAGTCTCTGGGCATTCCTTAATCTAACTTCTTTGCCACTTTGAAGAGCCTGTATTGTCTTAAACTTTTCTGACATGGGTTTTCCACGCCTTTGCAGCCTCTCAGGAATAGTGTTTTTGCGCTGCAACCTTTCTGACAAAACTCTTTCCATTGCCAAGGTAAATACCTTATAAATCATTAAAAGTAGAGCAATTTGTGAAAGGATAAATCTAGTCTGTAAATAGATGATGCATCAGAAGAATTTAAAAACAGTCGAGAATACACCATTCCACGTGTCACTCTTCCTTTTCTTTCTTTTTTCTTTTTCTTTTTCTTTTTCTTTTCCCACTTTAATTTTCCCCAACTGTTTATTGCAGGTGATTTCCATCATGGAAGAGGCCTTCATTCCGACAAGCTTAGGAACTAGCTCCTCTACAAAGTTATTTTGGATGGTCACCGGTATCTCCAACTTACAAGGTTCTGATCTCACTTCTTTAGCCCGTGTGAAGGTTGTATCTGGTTTTGACAAAACGAACCCTGATTCTGGCGAGCTTGATCCAATTGTGTTGGAAGATAATGATATTCCACACGGAATGCAACTGCTTGAAAAGTTGCAGGGAAGCGCGTCCATTGAGAAGGCAGTGATCTCAGCAGCTGCGGAAACTGTGAAAACAACAATGCGTAATACATTGATTAAAAAGCAATATTCTGCGGATAAGCGAGAGTTCAGAAAGAGGGGCAGAAATGATAGAAAAATTAAAAAGTAGAAAAGAAATTTTTTTTTTTTTTTTTTTTTTCATTACAAATAAAGAGTTAAAAAATAAAACGACACTTTTTTTTTTTTGCAACGGAGAATGTCATTGCTATAAAAAAATTATCATTCTGTATTTGCATTTTATTAATTTATAATTTTTTTTTTTTTTAAATTTCACACTTATTTGATACTCCCCTAATATCAATTATTGTTTACTCTTCTTTTTTTCAAAACCATCTCTTTGGAAAATTATAGGCATATATAATTTTCTTATAAATTTTAAAATAAAAATGATGTATAATTATAAATTAGAATATGGATTTTTTAGATGAGATAATTCTGTATGAATTGCTTATATACAAATAAAATTTTGTTTATATAGTAGTACCGGGCTATGTATTGATGCATTTTCTAGTCAAAGTTGTAAAATTCTAAGTTGCGTTCTTTTTTCTTATGCGGGTTTCTCTTAAATGAAAGCTCAAAAAAAAAAAGTTTATCTTAAATGATGATGTGAAAGGACAATTAGTGTTGCAAATTAGTAAAAATAAGTTGCGGTCCATTTAAGTAATTGATGAGGTTTCGGTATGCAATACTTTAAAAATATGGGCCCTTCCCATTAAATAGAATCAAATTTGGGCGTTTGACTAATGCATAATCGTAAGGTCTCATGTTTTTTTCTGTAATTAACTAAGAGCCCCTTTTTTTTTTTTGGGTATGATAATTAACTAAGAGCTTTAAAATGCTCTTACTGGAGAATCTTAGCGGTAAGTGACGGATTTATATATTGTTGGAGATTCAAATACGCACTCTTTAACATTGGATATAGTTTATTTAAATTTGGAAGGCTTGTCTTATTAATCTTATATGATGTCGCTCGAATGACAAATTTCAAAGAAAATAAAATCTGAAACCTTGGTTACATCACCTGAATAAGTGACTTCGAAAAAAATCCAACTTAAAATTTTAAATATATCACTCATTATCTTTTCAATTGACCAAACCCCCTGTATTTTTCTAACATATATTTAGTAGCACGCCAATTTAAGAATTTCTTGTCAAAATTACTAAAATCTATTTTGACAACATGAAATTTTAGTCAAAAAAATTACTATAAAAAAAAAATCAATTTTTCTCTTTACTTATTTACATGTCTTCCCATAATAAATTAAAAAAGTATAAAAAAAAAAAATTTAATTTCCAAGACAATCCTAAACAGTAAATACCAAAATTATGCAAAACAACCTATGATAATTGTGGATATCGCATTGTTAGCCCCAATTATTACTCTACACTACAAACGTATATAAAGATGATATATATATATATAGTGGTATTTTGAAAAATTAATAAAAAATTAATTTTTTAATTTTTCTTAACTTTTTAAATTCTTTTAAATAAAAAATTAAAAAATAATATAATTTTAAAAAATTAAAAAAATCAAAAAACGAACTTCTTATCCACTTATCAAAATAGCGCATAGTTTTAGATCATCATCACCTCCATTATGTTATGTCGCAGTCGGCCACTCACTATATTAATAAACAATAGGGTCCGTATCTCCAATCAAAAAGTCTTTGCCTACTTTGGCTTCTTTTCTTTTCTTTTCTTTTCTTTTTTTTTTTCTCTCAAACATCATCTCCTCTCTGATTTATTTATTTATACCAATCTTTTCAATGATCAAATAATACGGTTTTATTTATTTATTACTTATTTTATTAATTTTATTGTCAAAACAATGTGGTTTTTTATTATGAGATTCTATGGTGAGTAAAATTATAAGACTTTTTAGTTTCGCTTGTTATTTGTGTTTATTACGAATAATTGTGATATAATAATAATAGCAGATGTTTACAATTTGAATCTCACAAAACATGACAATTGGATTAAATTTATGACAAATTAGAAGTTAAAACCTAGTATGTCATGTGATCAAATTGAAATGTAATTTTTGAGGGGTAGGTAAAAGATATTGGCTTAGGTAACATGCACAAACAAAGGAGTTGTTGGATTTTTCTGTACTTGATCGATATTCCACACATTAATGGGTCTATTTTATCTTACGTGGAAGTAACAACTGAAATATCAAGGCATTCACTAGAGGACAAAAAAAAGGGTAAGTAGAAAAATTCAATCAAAATGATTGAGAATCTAATTATTTTTTTAAAATTTGTTGTTAAAAAATAATATCATTTATTAACATAATATGTAATACAAATTGCTAAATTTATAATTTACTTTGACTCTCTATGCAACTCTGGGTTGTTTTAGAAAGTTGGTAAAAATTTGACTTTTAGTTTTTTATCAAGTTTTTTGGTTTTTTTGAAAGTGATTTGGGAAGTTGGTAAAAAGTTAGCTTTTTGCTTTTTAGTTTAATATTTATTTATAATGTCAAATCAAATTAAAATGACTAAAATACCCTTACCCAACATAAAAGATTTATTTTTTTATTTTTTTTTCATAAGCCTTAATTTGTAATTTTATAGCTGCTTTTTTTGCACTTGCCAAATGGCTTTTCTGGCGTTTTTGGCAGCCACGTTTTTGGACATTTTATCCAAAAACATGACTTTTTACCATGTTCCCAAAATGGCACCCTGTCTTGCATAAATTTCTTAGAGAAACTGTCTTTTCAAATAAGTCTAAATTTAATCATCTTTTTTATACTACATGTTTTGAATTTAATTGTATAATATTTATTTTGATAAAAGGTAAGCAATAATTTACTTTTACCCAAACAAAACTGTATCATATAAACAAAACTGTATCATATAAGTTATTAATAAATACTTTTTAGTTTTTTGACTTTGGCAAAAAGAGCCATTCTAGTTCTAGAAGTCATTGTTAACATTTTAATCAAAACGTTAAAAAATTATTAAAAAAATTAAAAAATTTATAACTTATATCAAAAAGTCAAAAAAAAAAATTCTCTCTACTTTTTGTATATATTTTTATAAAAAGTCAAAAAATCATCCTAAACATACTAGTTTTTTTTATTTCATATTTTATGTGATTGATTACCCAGAAAATTTGATAATGTATTTATATAATGGAGATTAAATTGCTATTATGTTTGGTTTAGATATGAATGAATCTGAGTTATAAATTAAAATTTTTAAATTTGTAGTCTTAATATTCATTGATTCTTAAAGGGTCATGTTTCTTATTTTTTATTAACTAAAAAATAAGTTTGTTGTATTAAAATATTATAAAAACAGAAAATATATATATATATATATATATTGTTGGCTTTTTGGCTTTTCGAAGGGTATTTTTGTGAATGTGAGCGTGCCAGCAAGGATCAATCGTAGGTGAGTTATTAAAAATGATGAACGATGGACGGATATAATATCGGGTTGTGGGAGTGGTTGAAGGTAGCCATTGGAGTAGTGGTTTGATGGTGGATAACAGTGAAAAGAAATAATGAAAATTTATTTTGAAAATAAGTAATAGTTTTTTTCAAAAAAATTAAAATTTTTGAACTACTTTCCATATTTTTTTATAAAATAAATAATATATCAAAATAATTTATGTTCAATTTAAAAATAAAAATAAAAACGAAAACAAAACTCTTCGGCATGTCCTTTCCTTTTCTTTTTTTTCTTTGTTTTGTGAACTCGGACATGTCCTTTCTTTGATGTTGCACCGGGACACCATTGACAAGTAGGGGTGTAATTTGGACGGGCTCAATCCGAGCAACTCGAGTTTAGTTTGAATTTTTTTAAGATTTGGACAAAATATTTTCAAATTCGGTACGGACTTGGACAAAAATTTAGAAGCCCGAATTAAATTTGGGCGGGCTTAGACAAAGACGTCAAACAACCCGAGCAACCCAAAACCCGAATTATACATATATAGATATATAGAAATATTAAATATACATATAAATTATTAGTCATTATATGATATTAAATCATATTGAATGTATATTATATATATAAATAACATAAAATCTTACTTTTTTTCTTTCTATTTTCACTCATAAATTGTAAGGACTACTATAGTGGAATCACTCTTACATTATAAAAATTATTTGTTTTGATGGTATTAATGATTTTCTATAAAAAAATAATAATAATAATATTCCCTCTTGTACTGGAATTTAAATATGAGTAACCGTTGAAGATATGACATCTTGCATCCCGTTATTGATCTAGTGTTACTCAGATCATGTGAGGACCAATATTTATTGCCACGTGTACGATCAGGATTAAAGGCTTGAATAACCTTCCTTTATTACCCTTACTCTGCCACGTGTCGAACTGTAACTGGCTTTTACAAAATATGTAGCCAACATATATATATATATATATATATATGGTAGGTGAGTTATTAAAAATGATGAACGATGGACGGATATAATATCGGGTTGTGGGAGTGGTTGAAGGTAGCCATTGGAGTAGTGGTTTGATGGTGGATAAAAGTGAAAAGAAATAATGAAAATTTATTTTGAAAATAAGTAATAGTTTTTTTCAAAAAAATTAAAATTTTTGAACTACTTTCCATATTTTTTTATAAAATAAATAATATATCAAAATAATTTATGTTCAATTTAAAAATAAAAATAAAAATAAAAACGAAAACAAAACTCTTCGGCATGTCCTTTCCTTTTCTTTTTTTTCTTTGTTTTGTGAACTCGGACATGTCCTTTCTTTGATGTTGCACCGTGACACCATTGACAAGTAGGGGTGTAACTTGGACGGGCTCAATCTAAGCAATTAGAGCTTAGTTTGAATTTTTTTAGGGTTTGGACAAAATATTTTTAAATTTGGTACGGGCTTGGGCAAAAATTTAGAAGCCCGAATTAAATTTGGACGGGTTTGGACAAAGACGTCAAACAACCCGAGCAACCCAAAACCCGAATTATACCTATATAGATATATAGAAATATTAAATATACATATAAATTATTAGCCATTATATGATATTAAATTATATTGAATGTATATTATATATATAAATAACATAAAATCTTACTTTTTTTCTTTCTATTTTCACTCATAAATTGTAAGGACTACTATAGTGGAATCACTCTTACATTATAAAAATTATT